TTATTAATATTATTATTATTATTTAAAACAGCACATGCATCTTCAGAACATAGACCACTGCGCACCTTGACATTGCAGACCACTTGTCCACGTGCATTCTTGTGCTCACAATTAGCAATGACTTGCTCAATCTGAACCCGGTCAAAAAAATCCAGTTGTAAAGGCTCTGGAATGTCCTGACTGAAGTCAATTGAATCCAGGATACTTAAGATCTTCCTGCGTACTGGAAATGTAAATCAATTCAAACTGTATTCAGAAATATCAGGGGAAAACAAAAAAAATTGACAATAGGAGCCTAACTTACCTTTGTAAATCCAAATCTTAATGTGTAAAGTTTCAAAAGAAAACATTAAGTCTTAAAAAAGTGCTATCAATCTATATAAGGGGCTTAAAAACATTTTATAGAGCCTTAAATTCTTAATTTGTGTTATACTGTATTGTTCTCCTGTTATGTATGCATGTAATCCAGTATTTACAAATACAAGATTCTAATTTTTTCTCCTAAATAAAAGCAGGCTGGTTTTCAATGAGAACCACGCAGTCTTTTGTTGAGACTTAGAAACATTGTAAGGAATCTGAAGTTACTTACTTGGGTTTTATATTCTTTGCCATGAAAATACAAATAAGTTCAGCCTTAGCAACAGTCTGTTTTTACTATTGGCAGTAATGCCACCGTCCCATTCTGCCCTTCCATAGATATTTAAACACAGACTCCTCTAACTTCATTTCCAGTCCAGTATTTTCCACTCACTCCAAGCATCTACGTCAAGGTTCTAAAATTCATTTCCCCCCCCCCCCACTAAATAAAATTGTTCCATGTACTGCTGCTATTTAGAAAGTCTATTATTTTCTTTTTCAAAGTGTCCTTTCTTGAGGTGGCCCTCCCCCCATTCAGGATCAGAAAAACTTTACTGAGAAACAATCAGCAGCCATAATGCTTACCTTTGGAAGCAGTGTCAAAGTGGAGAAACCCACTGACTGATCGACTTTCATCTTCCATCCCTCCTTCACCATCAGCTGAAGGTAATGAAACACAGTAAATACATTTTTTAAAAAAATTTTGAAAAATACCACCTACTTTATTAATACTGAAAGAGAAAGAAAGAGAGAGCACACACTGACAAACCTTTCATGTTTCATGTCTTCCAATACAAATACAGCCTTGACTGTTAATAAAATGAAAACAACACTTATCTCACAGAAGCTAGCCAATTATCAAATACAGGCTAGACAGTACTAGAAATGCCTGAAAAGACACCCCACCCTTCAGTATGAATAATGCAGTTGGCTGAACACTGTAAAATGAGTAGGGTATCTGGGCACAGTTTCCTGTACTCGGATCTCCACAAGGATGAAGAGACAGTGTTCAGACCTATAAAAGTGAGGGAAAACACCATACTGCTGCAGCCCATTATGATATTTTCCAGTTATTCTGTTTATTTTCTTCTTGTAAAGAGTTTTGTTGCCACCTATTTCTATTTCCCTTGATTCACTTCTACTCTGTCCTGAAACTCTGAAATCTTGCCTTTTTATTTAACATTGCATTTTATGTCACATTGGGATGAAATACCATGTTTGTGACATTATAATGTCAAAAGCCAAATTGACCTGTAGCTACTATCTTCTGTGAGAAGGGTTGAAAGTGTGTGACAGACAGGCAGAAGTTAAGACTAAGAAAACTTTGTCTAAAACTGTTTATCAAGGAAGACCCTCCACCTTCTCTACACAGTAACAACTCTGGACAGCATCCCAAAAAAAATTATTTTATAATTTTAATTCTTTTTTTAATATTCCCCTCTCCTACCCCATAAACTATGTTTATTTTTTATATCAGTGTATATACTGAGATATTTCAAAAATGAAACACAGACAAAGCAGCAATGAACAAAAAGATGCCCTGATTGTTTCACTTCAGAGTCTACAACCATCACCTTTCTTCCTATCTCTCCAGTGGCAATTCCAGACACGGTATCACAAATGAACTCTCACAAGCTTATAGAGAAAAGAATTCAAATAAAGTCTCTCATACTTCCATTTATTCAAACTTATTTGCCCTCACAATAAATTCCTCTTACCCAAGTATGGTTTCACAGGCATGTCATCAAGCAGCAGATGCAGCAGTCTCTGTGTGTGGGAGCGCTGGCGGTTCAGCGATGTCACTCGCATTTCTATAGCTGCAGTCTTCATCAACCAAGACATTTGGTTCAGTGTTGAAATCTCATGTTCTGTGTAGAGATAAGGGAACAATTATAAAATTGAATGTAAATAATATTACTTACTCCAAGGAAAGCATTTTTCATTTGAGAAAGCTTTTAGAGAATGTCACTACTTATCATCTGCTCACCATTTGTTTACAAAAGGACTGAGAGATCTGACACAAGCCGTTAAATGAACACGTGGTTATCATGAAAACAAATCATACACATACATGCAATTAAGAGTATACACATACAGAAAAAATCTGGATATAACCTGTACTAACAGTCATTGTGGAGAATGCAGTGCCTCATGAGCAAATAGGGTCAAGTTATAATTTCAGTGAAAATAATCAGATATTTACACCAAATGAACTATAACTTTGATTAAAGTTGATAAGGCTTGAACGTGGGTGTCCAAGAATCTTCATATTCTATATTAATCTAATTCAGATTCTTAAGTTATATAAGAATTATCTAAAAGTACTTTACCCATGCTGGATACATGTATTTGAATGCTAAGTTTACTACCATTTATCAAAGGACTAGTGGGCAAGCATCTGATAAAGTGAGTAAGTACATTTATTCAGTTTAAGACACCTGAGAAATGTTGGTCTGAAACATTAAAAAAAATCTATTAACTTAAAAATTAGTTGCATCACCAAATAAAAGTTCTTTATTCAAAGGAAGGGAAGATATGGGTGGTTACAGCCACCAGCCTTCTATTCCCTCAGTTCATTGTAGCATTCTTGCTTTTCAGAAATGTAATTTTTTTTCTGTAGCATAATCTAACAAAACTACAATGATAATTGAAATATAGATTAGGATTTGATTCTGGAGACTTGATGCATTCCAAAACTAACATTCTTTTACAAAAGTTGAGCGCTAATAATCTGAACTTCCTAAATAGGCAGAGTTCAATCTTTGCAGAATTAAAAGGTTAGCAGAGGCAGTAATTAATTCAGTTTAATAATGCTACCTATGTTTCTTCTATGATTCCTAGGTAGTCAAAAGATGCATTGAATTTTAAGCATGCACAATCTTATCTTAGCATAAAAATTACCTTTGATAGAAAATGGCAAATACTGCAGCTGAGTGAATAAGAAATCCTGACTGGTCCTCAGATATCTCATAGTTGGACCTGATGTGTCAGAGCATGCACACAACTGATAGATCACCTGACAAATCAAAAACAGTAGATACCCATTTATGGAACTTATTTTAAAAACAAACTAACTACCAAATCAAAAGATGCGTAACACAGTTTTACTGCTCAAACAATCTATTACTTGTATTTACAGTAAGTTTTCCATCTGCTTACTCCAAAGCTGACCATATTATTTATAACAAATGTTGAATTACGACACTAAAGGACTACCAGCATATGGATGATTCCAACAGCTATTTTCCCACAACATGACATTATATAAGTCTTTCAGTTTGTTCAGCTCACTTAAACATGAGTGTCTTTTTCAGTCTCCAGGTTCACCAAGACAGGAAATGTAATTTTTTTTTTCTCCTCTCCTTCTACAGTATGGCCTCTTTCACTTTTAATAATGTTTAAAATGCCTTCTAGATTCCACAGATTTTCAACATGATACAGGTGTGTAATCATATGATTATATGACTTAAGGCCAAACATCAGGTACCTTGCACATACGTCTAATTCAACTGTCTTCCCCATCTCACCCCCTCAGATGTACATACAAACCTGTCACTGCTACAGAAGGAAGAGAATTTCATTGGCTTATTTGGGATTATTTGTTATCTTACTTGCTGGCAAACTGCAGTTCCAAAATTAAAAAAAAAAATTGGCATATGGTCACAACAGATTCAAAGGCTCACCAAAAACATTTAGAACATTAGTTTTATAAGTATATTCCAATTCCAAGTTCTGACATGAGTGCAGAACTTTATTTTCTGCTAGAAGGTAATACTTTTTCACACAGAAAAAGGTAGAATAGAAAGAGTTCAATGTATATAAAAACCTGACAGATGCATTTTAAAAATGAAACTATTATCAAAATCATCAACCATCTGTGTTCACCAAACAAGAAACAGCTAATTTTATTTAGAGCCTACTTTCAGTATATGCCAACAGAAAATATGCTGAATACCTGGTAACAGAGTTCTGCAAGATGAGGAGATTCATGAACTGCTGTAGGCCCATTCCTTGTTTCGGTACCCTTCTCCAGTATGTTCAAGATAGCATGAAGGCAAGTCCGTGGGCAGCCCAAGACACCTTAAAATACAAAAATAATTTCTTAACATTCTTGATCTTACTTGCCTCCATAGCAAATATAGGTTAGTACACAGAATTACAGAAACTAAATTGTTCAGATACGTTGTGCTGCACTATACTGCTCCACAGAACTCCAGCAAAAATATCTGGCAAAGTTTTTTCTCTGTTAATTAAAATAAAAGAAGGAACTGTGTTTCAGCAAAAATCTAATAAAAACATTTATAGTTAGCTTGTAGGCTTTTGAGATGCTGGTGAAAGAGGATAAATTATGCAATCAAAACTTATTAAGAACTTTCTCTTCAGTTCTATTAAAAAAAAAAAAATCATTTGACAATTTCGAAGAATAGCTTTAAATTCCTGTCTTTATTTTACAATTACAGCCAGTTTATGACTAATGTTCCCAAAGGCACTTGACACTGCAACCAAGGGGAATAGGGAGGAGATTTTAATACTGAAGTCAAAATCCTGTCTTTTTGCGTTCTCCCTTTAGCCAATTAATTCTTTAATCAACCCAGAAAGATGTCCTGAAGCAGTAAAGGCATCAATAACTGCAGTCCTTACAGGGGAAATAATCTTCTCTGTTTGGACACATATAATTTATGCTTTAGTAGAAATTATTATCTCAAGGCAAATGGCTTATGGTCATTATTTCTTTACATTATTAATGGGAAGATCCAAATTGGTCTGCAAGGCTCTCTCATGGCTTTGAGACAAAGTCCCCTATGACTGACCTAATGTATGATACCCTGTAAAATTGTGTGGGTGCAGATCAGTTACCTGTATTGTGTAACTATGGAATTTCAAAATATCCAAAACATGGTCTGCAACTGTAAGCAACTTTGCAGACAAAAAAAAAATAGGTTGGGATCTTTTTTTCATCTACCTGATCTATCAAATAACTTTAAAACATCTTTTTTTCCAAATAAAATTCAGGACCTATCTACCCTTCATTTAGAACTATGAAGGTCTAAAAACTGCTGGGCCACAGTGTCAAATAAAAACCTAAAGATAATGAGAAATAGTCTTCTCTAAATAACTAAAATCAAATGTTTGTTCAAACATGTTCATATAAAACATCCTTTAAAACAGTTGAGAAAGAATCTCATACTTCAGATTGGAAGGGACTCCAGGACGTCTCAACGCCAAACTACTGCTCAGTTATGATATCAGACCAGATTGTTCATGGCTTTATACAGTTGGGTCTTGAAAACTTCCAAGCATGAAAACTGCATGACCTCTCTGGCCAACCCACTCCACAGCTTCACCGTCTTCATGGTGAAAAAGTTTCTTCTATACCCAGTTGGAGCCTCTCTTGTTTCAATTTATGCCCACTGTCTCTCATCTTCCTGTCACACACCTCTGAAGAGCCTGGCTTTATCCTCTCATTAACCTCTTTGTAGGCATTCGAAGACTGCTATTAGGTCCTCCCCAAAGCCATCTTTTCTCCAGGCTGAAGAAATCCCATTCCCTCAGCTTCTCCTCATAGGCTGAGTGCTCCA